TGCCAACTCTGGGTTCACATGAAAAATAGAAAATACCCCTTAAAAATCACACAAATAGGTCTGAAGACATCGTTTTCATGACTTTTCTGAGACGGGTATTTACAAATATGCGTTAGCTTCCGGGGAGTACAAGACCCGACCGGGCAGGGCGGCCCTTGGACCCCGGCATCTCAAGCTTTTTTCTCTTTGGGGGTTGGAACCTCTGTTCAAAGCTACATCAAAATGACTCACACAAGTAGGTCATCTAAGTCACATTCCTGAAACTGTGGAAATTTGGACTTGCCACATATTCTAGACTAGCATCAGTGTCTGTATGACAGACAATACATTCTACATCACGATATTTAAGGTGTCTAAATTTATACCACACCTGCGTCACTAAATCGCTAAAAGCTACCACAACAACAACCCAACACCTCGCCCTGACACGGCGTTGAAACCGTAAAGCTTTTCATGACGAGTACAGTTCAAGTTATAAATACTTCCTTTGATAAAAAATACACGAGTTGTGGTCATCAACAAGTCCAGCAATCAACTATCGCGTGCAGTAGACCTGAGCAACACTCTACGTATTAGTACGCCCTCATCCAACCAGTCATTCGCAATCGTTACTGCGTTGATTTCATTTATATCTTTTAGCGGCTGATTCTTCTAAGTTGCGTGCCTTTCTAGCGACCTTGACCTTCCTTTAGTTGGCGTCACAGCAGGACAGGAGTACATTAGAGTACAGATGCACTCGTTCATGCGCTACATGTGAAGTGTTTCCTGAAATGCATCCTCGTTGAGTTACCTAGCAGATGACAATGTCGACAAAGGCACCAGACGCTGTCATTGTTTACTTTATGAAAATTTCATAACTGGTTACCGGTGTTCATTGCATGATCTATTTGAAACTCGAGATCCCTTAATGCCTTCTGTCACGCTGAACCGGAAGTACAGAGAACTACTTCTGGCTACTGACACTGATGCCTCTTGCCCATTTATTTTCAGAACTAGTTCAGTAATGGCTTTGAAATATGTATTGAACGTTGTTTTCGCTAATGTAATGGCAGTACCCATTCGAAGTTTATCACGATAAGAATAACTGTAATTACGTTATTTCTAACTTGAGCCTCTTGGACATTAATCAAGGTCATTGAAACAAAGCCAGACATGTGTTCAAATAATTCCTATTGTACAACAGGAAATATGCATGTTGGCTCGGCATGTTACATCTTGTTTCCTTTAATTCTGAAAAAGTATATCTGTGTAACTATCACAATAGCCTATCAGAATTTGTTTTGTGCCTGTATCAATACCATCCTTGGCCTTACAGCCATAGCAATTGTACATTACGTCTACTGAACGTGGCGACCTCCATGATCTCCAGCCCGCCATATACCAAAAGATGTTAATGATGGTACTTCTTGTTACCCTGACTGGCGCCAGGAACAAAGTGGATACTTTTGAACCTATGCTGTTATCAAACTACAAAGGTTTCAAATGACAGCGTTTGTGTTGTACATAAATCTATTGCAGTTGTGAGATATAAGCCAAACAATTTGTTCCCAGAACCAATATGCTGCTCTCATCTTGAACCATTAGGTCAATTCACGGAATCGATTCATGAAAAACATATTGCTCTTTGAATAGGCGTCATTGGAAAACGAGTATTGATCCGCGATTGAGTACAGCACAACAAAGAGAGATGGCCTCCATAGGGCTTTCATTGTCTTGCAAGCCTATTTCAGAAACTCGATACTTTAATAATTTACAAGTGTTCTGTTCTCTGATGGCTGTGATAACGTTTTATATGTTCATAGATCTGATGGACTTCAAGTAGCATGATTGGGACGCTTCAGCGATCTATGATAAATAGTACCACGCACGTTTCCATATCGATTGCAATTCATATACATTATTCCTACAACTGTATTTCGATTTATGTGGAATGTATACCATTTACCCTTGTGTAAGTGTAGATGCTGGAGGGTGTATGTCCGTTATGTGAACAGTAATGCATGTAATGCATGAGAAGTTATTGTCAGAACATGACATACCTAACATACCTAATCATAACAACCTTGAACAACAGTTTTAGCACATCACATAACTAGACATTAGAGCAACGCCAGAATAGGACATAGCTGGACATTACAACAACGTCAGAATATGGCATTACAACAACGTCAAAATATGATGTTACAACGTCAAAATATGACGTAACTAGACATTACAACAAAATATGACGTTACAACGTCAGAATATGACGTAACGTACAACGTCAGAATATGACGTTACAACAACGTCAAAATATCACGTAACTAGACATTACAACAACGTCAGAATACGACATACCTAGACCTTACAACAGGGTCAGAATATGACGTAACTAGACATTACAGCAACGCCAGAATAGGACATAGCTAGACATTACAACAGCATCAGAATATGACATTACAACAACGTCAAAATATGACGTCACAACGTCAACATATGACGTAACTAGACATTACAACAACGTCAGAATACGACATACCTAGACATTTCAAAAGGGTCAGAATATGACGTAACTAGACATTACAATCCTGCACAGCGTCAGATATCAAAACATGACCTCTATAGACATGCCAAATGTGAACAACGATATCAAAACATGACCTCCAGGGACACGGCAAACGTATTTCCAATTTGGCATCGTCTCGAGCACACCATCCGATTGTGGTATTGAAGTTTTGGTCTATCCGCTATTGGAAGCTTTGTTGTAAACAGTACAACACCCTCAAGGAAATATGTAACGTAACATAACACACACACACACACAAAGAGAGACACACACAGACATACACGCACACACTCACACACAGACGCACACTCGCACACAGAGCCATATCTAGGTAAGGAAAACACCATGTTTAGCCAATTTCACTTGACATGCCGACTCAGTCGACCCACTTCTCCTACAAACCATCAATATGTCCCTGCTGGCGAGGCGATTAGGGAGTAGGCGTGTATCACATGCATGCAATCAACAGAAAAACTGTTTTGCATTGTGTGGCCGTCAAAGTACGCATTAAATAGGTCACATTCGCTTTAATGAGTAGATGATATCGATAGGGTGGTTGTCAACTTTTACTAGTGTTGGCAAGGGTACAATTCATAGTACAGGATTGAATCATATCAATATAGCAGCAGTATCCAAAGAGGTGAATCGAAAAATTCTTATTTGCTTTGGATACCTCACATCTATGTCGTGTGAATGTTTATGTCGATTGGGGACGTATTCTGGTATTAAGTTTGTCTTGTCGCCTTACCAGTGTCAGCATTTCAGTGCAAACCAAAGGTCAACAAAATGGACCCTGACCTCTACATGGTCAACGGTCAACACAATGGACCCTGACCTCTTCATGGTCAAAGGTCAACACAGTGCACCCTGACCTCTACATGGTCAAAGGTCAACACAATGGACCCTGACCACCACATGGTCAACGGTCAACACAATGGACCCTGACCTCTACATGGTCAAAGGTCAACACAATGGACACTGGCCTCCACGTGGTCAAAGGTCAACACAATGGACACCGACCTCCACGTGGTCAAAGGTCAACACAGTGGACACTCACCTCCACATGGTCAAAGGTCAACACAGTGGACACTGACCTCTACATGGTCAACGGTCAACACAATGGACACTGATCTCCACGTGGTCAAAGGTCAACACAATGGACACTGACCTCCACGTGGTCAAAGGTCAACACAGAAGACACTGACCTCTAAATGGTCAACAGTCAACACAATTGACACTGACCTCTACATGGTCAACGGTCAACACAATGGACACTGACCTCCACGTGATCAAAGGTCAACAAAATGGACCCTGACCTCTACATGGTCAACGGTCAACACATTGAACACTGACCTCCACGTGGTCAAAGGTCAACACAGTGGACCCTGACCTCTACATGGTCAACGGTCAACACAATGGACACTGACCTCTACATGGCCATAGGTCAACACAATGGACCCTGACCTCTACATGGTCAAAGGTCAACACAGTGGACACTGGCCTCCACATGGTCAAAGGTCAACACAATAACCACGGATGGTCATGGCAGAATGCAACACATATCCTGCAAACTGCTGGCATCGAGATCAATACCAAGCGGGCGGCAACACGCCTCTTGATAACACAAGCCATGCACTATAGGCATAATGAATACAATACCGTAAGTATTGACATACCAATGATTGGGATCAGATAGCTGTAATATTTGCCTGTACATACCTTTGTCCACTTGAGATAATTACACCTGTCATCAACTATTGTTATAGTAAATACAATGCCGTAGGTATTGGCAGACCAATGGATGACAGTAATACCTGCAATATTTGCCTGTACATCTCTTTGTCCACAGGTAATCATACCCGTGATGTTCCACACTATCAACCTGGACGTTAATGACTAACACAAACTTCAACGATCTGTTTGACTTAATGAATCTTGCAGGCCTTCATTGGCTGTTTACCTATGGGAAATCATCTATCTGGTATCTGTCTGTAATGACTATGACACTACATATGTATGCAGACTGTAAACAGGCAATAATCAGACGGTAAACAGACTCTTAACAGACAGCATGATGAAAACTGTAACAATGGGAATAGTGTCATCTATAACTATTGATGTCAGCAATTTTCAACTCGCCCTAATGGGCGTTAAGGTCGCTTTGTCAGCCCAAACTGCTAATAACATTCGGTCAGTGTTATAATATAATATGACATTCTCGTTGTATGTGTGTACGGGGACACGTGTTCCAATGGCCGATCGACATGAATTGTGTAGAATTACAATACTCAATCAGCATAAACTATCACCGCATCCATACACACGGTGCCAATGCCTGCATGCATAACGGATGCCACGACCCCATGTGGCGTTTATTGACAGCAATGTGTGACCAGGCAATCACTGTCCCTTAAAGTAGGTTCAGAGACCGATACCCAACAGGAAAGGCCCTTACCTGTTATCTTTACACCATTCCAAGCATGCAGTGCTGAACACGGTCCTGCATCCACCGTCCCGGTAGCTGTTGTGTGGTAGTCTCTGACAACGTCTACGGATGTCGTGTGGTCTGAAACCCAGCACGTGCTTTCAATAACCCTCACAAAAACAACTTCAAGCTTCACTTCCAACCGGAAAACATTGTCGTCTGCTCGTTCCTATGACACTTCCTGATTCGAACACCTCAGGCACCCATGGATCTGGGATCGCCACCACTGGATATTTCTATGCAACAGTTGTGTAGGGACACATCCAATTTCTCCGCGTTCTGGAAGCCGTATGCGATCTCATCCCACTGACTGCAGCAGATGGCCATACCGCATTGATTGAGAGTTTGGCGGGAAACGGAAAATGTGTTACTCTTACCTAGATATTGTAGTTATCGACGGGTCCATGAATGCAGTTGTAATATTTCTTACAAAACACCAGGCGAAATCGATACACTGACGGACAGCCTGGCGATCGATACCGTCCTGATAATTCAGTGTAATATGAGGTTGACATTTAATGCAAAACATGGGCCAGATATCCGTTTTCTCCCCGTTGGGGAAGTCGATCCGAGAGATGTGCGGCGTAGGTGTCCAGCTGAACTACAGATCCAGCCATGAGGTGTCTGGTTGCACATGAATACCTGGCTGTCATTATACGCTCATTTAATCCTATGAAGTCCTCCACTGTCGTCATTAGGAACCCTTTCAGAATGTCCTTGTTGACGGATAGTTTTCCAACAGCGGTTTCACGGAATTATCATCTCGATTGCCTAGGGCGATTTTTTTCACATTTTGTATTTATAAATGCTATGGAACATCGCCAAAAATATACCGTGTCCTGATTGAAGCTGCAACTGGTCCTCCGAGGGGTTGACCTTTCCAGGCGCCGGACTTTGGTGTGGGTGGAGTGTATTAAGCGTTGGGTTTCTGCATTTTGAGTGAATTAGTGAATGAGTGGTTGATTGATTGAGTGAGTGTTTTAGTGAGTGGAAGGTTGTCCTATATCACGACCAAACAAAGACTAATTTTAAAGAAATCGGAGACTACTTGTACAAGACTGTACAGGAAACAGGCTGATTTTCAGGCAACCTTGTCGGCCAGTACATCATTTTCAGCCATAATTGGCCCTTATAATTATCAAACAAATATTTTGTCATTCGCATGCAAGATACATCCAGGATATGTACCATATGTGTCAGGAGTGGTGAGTGAGTTTAGTTCTACGCCGCTCTTAGCATTATTCCAGCAATACCACGGCGGGGGACACCAGAAATGGGCTTCACACATTGTACCCATGTGGAGAATCAAACCCGGGTTTTCGACGTCGTGATCGAAAGCTTTAACCACTAGGCTACCCTACCACTCCAGGAGTAGTGTGATAATTCGTCAAACGCAAAGATCACAATGTCTGGAATTCATCTCGGGCTCGTTTGAATGTCTTCAGCAACCAGATAATGCTTGTTATAAGAGGCAAGGAGACTAACGAGGTTCGAACAGCTCACTGGTTTGGGGCAATACATACCATCGTATGTAAATTGCAATCAGGGTATTAATCACTGGATTGTCTGGTCCAGATTCGTTTATTTACAAACTGTCGTAGAGCTGGAATATTAGTGAGTATTGCATTAAACAGCAAACAATCACGTGTATGTACACAAAAACGTTCATCATCAAAATTATATATCATCAGAATTATTATAATAATATCCCAAGCGTCATGGGCATGTTACTCGAGGACAACAACAGCCTCGTTGCTAAAGCAATACAATCCGCCGTTCGTCAACAGCTTGGATCATCTTGATGAAAGGTTCGTCACGTAGAGAAAAAAGACTAATGATTTTGGCCTTGTGGCGTATAAAATGGGACTTACCTGTAATTTAATCAAGGTATCAGGTGCAGGAACGTGGACTGAATACATGACGTCTAACTGGTCACTGCACTGGTGGCAGTGTCGCAAGTGTTTACAGTCTGCAACACGTCTTTTGTTGTAGCGTAGTGGTAGCAGCGTTCGATCGTCACCACCATCATCCGGGTTCGATTCCCGACATTAGCACAATTATCATTGTGTGTCACGCTGGAATATTGCTAATAGCGCCATAAAACTAAACTTTGCCCTTGTGGAAATTATAGTTGGCAATACCAATATGTATTTTATCATCGGATATGTATTCACACGTATGTGAGTGAGTGAGATGGGTTTTACTCCGCGTTTAGCAATATTCCAGCAATATCAGGAAGGGTGACACCAGAAATGGGCTTCAGACATTGTGCCCATGGGAAATCGGTAATATGACGTTAAGAAAGTTAGCCCTAAGTCAAGGGCTATGAAACAAGACTGGCCTACGTTAAGGAAATATGCAATATGTTAAGATCAATACTCTAAGGTAACAAATTATGTTCTGAGGTAAGATAATATGCTCTAAGTTTATATAATATGCTCTAGGTTAACTGCCCTATGTTGGGGTATTATCCCCAGGTTAAGATAATATGCTCCAAGTAAAAACAATATTCCCTGAGTTTAGATAATACGCCCTTTGTCAAGGTAATATGATGTATGTTGAGATAATATGCTCTACGGTAAGTGTAACTTCTTTGAGAGGCATTTTAGAAATTGCAAAAATGAAGGAAACCCAAGTTCTGTGATGCTTGATAACAGTGTTAGTATCTACACAGAAACATCGCATTCATTACAATAAAGAGGTTGACTATACACAGAACTTGGTTGGTTTTCATACGTTAAGTGTGCCTTGAGTTAAGACAACAGGCAAAACATGAAGTCAACAGCTCCTAGGTTAAGACAACAGGCCCTATGTTAAGCAAGCCCTAAAATAAGGTAATATGCCCTAAGTTAAGACAACATGCCCTAAATCAAGACAACAGTTCCTAGGTTAAGACAACAGGCCCTATGTTCAGATATTGAGCCCTCTGTTAAGACAACGGGTGCTAAGTTTAGATAATATGCCCTACGTTAAGTGTGCCCTACGTTAAGATAATATGCCCAAAGGTGAAATAATATGCCCTAAGTTGCTATGCCCTATCATAGTTTAAGCAAGCTGACACACCCTACCATACAAACAGCCCATGACAACTATTTGCACAAGCCTCTCCCGGGGGCACTAAACACGTTCTTTGAATGAATCGGACTAAATTATCCCCAAACATTGCAGCAGAAAAAACGGATCTGAACATTAATGACCCAATCTCCTCAAAATGCTGAAGAGGAGCCCTTTCAATACAGAACCATCGCGCACTAATTACTCGAGCTGACCACGTGACAACGTGTCAACATTGTATGAAAAGATCCGAATTCCCTGATGAACTGTATCCCTTGCGTGATGAGGCTGATAACGAGAGTACACGTGATGCTGGCATTCACATTCTGAGCCGGCCGATAAGAAGCAGCCTGGTAATTTTAGCAGATGTCCGCTTCCTTGTACTGTCAGGCATTGAGATACACAAGTTTACTCTATGGTTCTTTGGAGAAGCGTCTCCGGGCAGTTGTTCTTTGTTCCAGGGATTTGAATTAGCGATGCGACATGGGAAACTGGCCAGGTGTTGATTGGCCGATCGGGGTTTGTGTGTTGTGGTATGTGTACAAATGACTGAGGAGATTGCACTTGGATTTGTTGTAGACTTGACTTCCATAAGTCTCATTACTCTACTACGGCTACACTTGTTTACACAATCAATGAAGCTCCATATCGCTGCTTGTTTTTGGTTTGGTTGAGTTTTTATTCATTTATTTTTTCTATTTGTTTAATTTACATTTTTCTTTATGTTTATTTATATTTATTTTTTTCTTTTCTATTTTTACTATCTTATTTATCATTATTATAGTTTTGTTGTTTTTATTTTATTATTTATGTAATTATATTTATTTTATTTTATTTTTTTAAATTATTTTTTTTAAATTTATATATTTATTTATTTTTATGTTGTTGTATTTGTAATAATTGGCCTGAGAGGTGTGGCAGTTCCAGGTTGTTGACTTAAACCTTTTCAACGGCATATTAAGCCATGACTAACTGTAGCTCAACGGAGAGCAATCGGTTGGTGCTGCAGCCACAGAATTCAATGTGTCCAAGAGCACCATCTGAAGACTTTGGTATCGGAACCAGTAACAAGATACGTCAAGAGGCGAACCAAGATCACACCCCATGCTGCTTATCAGCCGCTATGCCATGATGTGCAACAACCTATGTAGTCTATCCCCCCAGACCCCACAGAATTATTTATAAAATTAGTCTAACTCAGGCCCCGAATGTTCGGGCAAGTTTAGATTGTTTCGGTAGACGACATAATATTGTTCTGGGCTTCTTGTAGGTAATATTATGGTTTGTTTTCTTACAGATACATATTTGTAAATAACAAATTACTTCTGGGACTTATTGTCAGAATCTTCAAAAGCAGCCATTACGTGTTTGCGATGAATGGCAACAACGGGGTCAACTGCGACGACGGTGGCTTCAGTGTGTGGCGTTAACCCTGGCTGAGAACAGTTTGGTTCATTACCTTGACGCTGGGCACAGTTGATGAAGTTGGGCGAAGCTGCTTGTGAAATGATCTATGAACTAATCAGAACTATATATTCTCTTAAAGGGGCGGTGGGTAGCCTAATGGTTAAAGCGTTGGCTCTTCACGCCGAAGACCCGGGTTCGATTCCCCACATGGGTACAATATGTGAAGCCCAATTCTGGTGTCCCCCGCCGTGATATTGCAGGAATATTGCTAAAAGCGGCTTAAAACCATCCTCACTCACTCACTTAAATATGATTATAACCTATGCTACTTTATTCATTATATCCATGAAATAATATTTTCTAAATATTTATGATCATGTATGCCAAATCATGTTAGAAAATGTGGATGAAAATCTGAAGGAATATTTCTACTTGTCTGTCAGCAATTGTTGGAATAAACTAATATAGGTAACAGTGAGATGGTTTTCTGTTCAATAATCCATGTAAGTTGTTGTTTTAAATGTCTGATGTTTGTTTGTTTGTTTAACGCCACATTAAGCTATGTTCCAGTTATGTGACGGCGGTCTGTAAACAATCAAGTCCGGCCCAGACAATATAAGATTGACATCACCAGAATCGATCTACGCAACTGGGATACGATGACATGGATCAACCAAGTCAGCGAGCCTGACAACCCGATCCCGTTAGTCGCCTCTTACGGCAAGCCTGGGTTGCTGAAGACCAATGCTAACCCGGATGTTCACGGGTCCTGACTAATGGAACACGTACACTGAAGGTGTAAGGCAGTACTTAACGTTAATGGTAAACACGACTTAACCAGTTCCCATAAGCTCCAATTATGTCTATTTGTCCGTGAAATCTTCACATGGAAGACTGTGTGCAATATGTACCTGCTCAGTTCCAAAACCAAAAAATCAGATTAGGTGTTCCGTTTTTGAAGTATGTGTCAGTTACTCTGATGTTCAGACAATCAACACTTGTATTCGTTGGTTTATTTATTTATTCGTTTATCTATGTTTGCCACGTTCAATTGCCGAGACATGCACTAAACACAATCGATTGTTATTGATGAGTGGACAAGAATGTCGCGATGTTATCGATCAGCAAGGAAAGCAAATAATTCTTGTCACCCATGGGGATTATTATGGTTTTTTTGTGGAATTATTTATGATAGGATTTGCATTTCGTATTGCAAGGCCTTTAGAAATGAGGTTTCGGTGTTGTGATTATATCACGACTTGGATTAGGTTACGATGACTGTACCACAGACAGATGGTGTGGTTGTACGCCGTACTGATGTGTGAAAAGGTGGTTGCACGCCAGACTGACGTACGATAAGGTTGTTGTACGTCCGACTGACGTTCGATAAGGTTGTTGTACGCCCGACTGACGTTCGATAAGGTTGTTGTACGCCCGACTGACGTTCGATAAGGTTGTTGTACGCCCGACTGACGTACGATAAGGCTGTTGTACGCCCGACTGATGTAAGATAAGGTTGCTGTACGCCCGACTGACGTAAGATAAGATTATCGTACGCCCGACCGACGTGAGATAAGGTTGTTTACGCAAAACGGACATACGGTAATGTTGCTGTAGGCCTTACTGGTGTAAAATACGGTTGTACGTTGGGCTGACGTATGGTAGGGTGGTAGGGACTGACGAATAATACGGGGGCCGTACGTTACACCGATTATAGCTAAACTAACGATACGTTTAACGTCATAATGACGTGCACTACAGTTGTTATACGTCATATTCACGTATACATCGGTTGTTATACGTTATTAACCTATCTCTCGTCACGCCGAAGACCCGGGTTCGAATCCCCACATGGGCACAATGTGTTAAGCCCATTTCTGGTGTCCCCCGCCGTGATGTTGCTGGAATATTGCTAAAAGCGGCGTAAAACCAAACTCAGTCAGTCAGTATTAACCTATCTACAAGTCCACAGCAGGTACAGATGGATTCGCAAGCTCGGCACTTGATTGGTGAGTCTACCAATGGAAATACACTGATCCGTCGAAACGATAAAAATGTTATTTATTGAATTCGTTCACCAAAAGACCAAACAGCTGAATTGTACATCGACCAAGCGCTTGGGAGACGTGAAATCGATACGTGACGTTTTCCAGAGTGCTCCTCCTCTCATAACGGACACAGCAGGTATGTGCACACCTGTCCGATTAGGCGAGTTGATTTCCCTTGAGTGGGCAATTTTTTAAGTGTGGGTTTATTCGAATATATCCTAAATGCTATACATATCATGAATTCATCTATACGCAGATGTATGTGGGATAAAAAGAGCAATATAAGTGGTTTAATTATAGAAAATGAAATAACATATGAGATTGTACGTACGATCTGGTAATAGGAAGTATCCTACTCACTCACTCATTCACGCTCGAGAAAGAGAGTGTCGGGAGAGGGGGAGAGATCGAGGGAGGGAGGGAGAGGGAATGAGAGAGAGCATGGAGGGAGGGAGATGGTGGGGAGAGAGCGGTTAGGGAGGGAGGGAGAGAGAAAGAGCGGGGAGGCAGAGAGCGAGGGAGATAGAGGGGGGAGGACAGGTAGAGAGAAAGAGCATGGAGGGAGGGAGAAAGAGCGGAGAGGGAGGGAGGTAGAGAGAGAAAGAGCATGGAGGGAGGGAGAGTGAGTTTAGTTTAGTTTTACGCCGCACTCAGCAATATTCCAGCTATATTTCACGATTGAGGGAGAAGGGTGGGGCGAGAGGGCTGTGAGGGAGAGGGTGGGGCGAGAGAGCTGTGAGGAAGAGGGTGGGACGAGAGAGATGTGATGGAGAGGGTGGGGCGGAGAGCTGTGAGGGAGGGAGGTGGGGCAAGAGAGCTGTGAGGAGAGAGGTGGGGCAGGAGAGCTGGAGAGGGGAGGGTGGGGGGGGCAGAGAGAGCTGTGATGGAGAGGGTGGGGCAGGAGAGCTGTGAGAGGAGAGGGTGGTGCGGGAGAGCTGTGAGAGAGAGAGGTGGGGCAGAGAGAGAGCTGTGATGGAGAGGGTGGGGCAGGAGAGCTGTGAGGGGGAGAGGGTGGGGCGGGAGAGCTGTGAGGGAGAGGGTGGGGCGGGAGAGATGTGATGGAGAGGGTGGGGCGGGAGAGCTGTAGAGAGGGAGAGGGTGGGGCGAGAGAGAGGAGAGAGAGGGTGGGGCGAGAGAGCTGTGAGAGAGAGGGTGGGGCCGAGGAGGGAGAGGTGAGGGAGAGGGTGGTGAGGAGAGAGTGGGAGGGGATGGGCGGGAGAGCTGTGAGGAGAGGGTGGGGCGGGAGAGCTGTGAGGAGAGGGTGGGGCAGAGAGGAGAGCTGTGAGGGAGAGGGTGGGGGCGGAAGAGCTGTGAGGGAGATGGTGGGGCGAGCGAGCTGTGAGGGGAGATGGGGGGAGAGAGAGCTGTGAGGGAGAGGGTGGGGGAGAGAGAGCTGTGAGGGGAGAGGGTGGGGCGAGAGAGAGCTGTGAGGGAGAGGGTGGGGCGGAGAGCTGTGAGGGAGAGGTGGGGAGAGAGCTGTGAGGGAGAGGGTGGGGCAGGAGAGCTGTGAGGGAGATGGTGGGGAGAGAGCTGTGAGAGGCAGAGGGTGGGGCAGGGAGAGCTGTGAGGGAGATGGTGGGCGGAGAGCAGGAGAGAGATGGTGGGGGGAGAGAGAGCTGTGAGGAGATGGTGGGGAGAGAGCTCTGAGGGAGAGATGGAGACAGCGAGGAGGAGAGGAGGAGAGAGAAAGAGCGGAGGGTAAGACGGAGGGAGGAAGGAGAAAGACCAAGGAGGGATGGAGATGGTGGGGAGAGAGCGGTGAGGGGAGAGAAAGAGCAGGAGGGAGGGAGGAAGAGAGAAAGAGTCCCACATGGACGAGACGGGGTGGGGCGAGAGAGCGGTGACGATGGAGAGAGAAAGAGCAGAGGATGAGAAAGCGAGGTTATCAATATAAAAGAGAGAGTAAGAGAGCATTGATGGGGGAGAGGTAGGGGTGAGAGCGGTGATGGAGGAGCGAGAAGAGAGGCGGAGAGAGAGAGGAGGGAGGAAGAGCGGAGAGAGAGCGAGGGTGGGAGAGAGAAGAGATAAAACTGGAGAGGGAGGAGGAGAAAGAAGAGAGAGAGAGAGGGGATTGAGAGAGAGAAAGAGCGGAGAGAGAGAGAGAATGGGGTTGAGAGAGAGAAAGAGCGAAGAGAGGGAGGGAGGGAGAAAGAGCGGAGAGAGAGAGAGGGGGTAGATAGACGGAGAGAGGGAGGGAGAGAGAGAGAAATTGTTCATTTTGTATATACAGAATTGATGCTGATGTTGTACTTTGTATGGGTTACAGATACTAACATAGTGTGAGTACACCTGTATAATGAATGTACGACGTGCGTAATGACGATTTGACCCAACTTTATTTGCTATGAAGATCGTCCATAAATAACTTTAACTTACATCATGAAATATGCATCATCTTTGATCAACTGCATGCTTCGGGTGATAGCTGCACCGTGGGGGTAACAGCATTGTCCATCACTTCAGCTGCACCGCGAGGACTGATGATATAAAACAATGGCGGTATTAACCTGACAACAACTATTCAGGTGGGCATTTTTACGACTTCTATTAATAGCCAGGTGTAAGTCAAAGCTCTGAGTGAGCGACGTGGCTGTGAATATTTTCATAGAAGATCGATGAGAACAAGATGTTACGCTACGCTGTGAGTCGAAAATAGAAATCACTTGCCGATTGTAAATACAGATGTCGTGGGATGTATTCATAGCTTCAGGATCAAAAAGGTTATGACGTCAGAGGGTCTGTTGCAGCATCGTCACACCATGAAGTGCGTCACAGTAATTCGCCTGGTAGACACATGTTACTGACCAACGATGACGTCTGTATTTCTTTGCGACAATGCGTTGACATGACGTCACGTTGACTCCAAACAATGCGACATGTAGCTTGAACGAGATTACCAGCGGAGGGCTCTCCTTTAACACCTATACACCTCTTTTTCATTAGCTGGTCATTCGAACGTGGGCGTCTGTGACACTGCGCAACATCACTCTGCAACGTCTACTTGCCTCCTACACGGATAACGTGCTTCCGAAAGACACAAAATATTTTTCACAAAATACAGGAGATGCACTGAAGCTAGATGTTTGTTTGTTTGTTTGTTGTTTAACGCCCCGCTAACCAATGTTCCAGGCCCATGGTGGCGATCTGTTAACAATCGAGTCCAGGCCAGACAACCCAGTGATCAAGAACATGAGCACCGATTTACGCAAATAGGATACGATGACATGTGTCAACCAAGTCAGCGAGTCTGACCACCCGATCCCGTTGGACGCCTCTTACGACAAGCATGGGTTGCTGAAGACCAGTTCTAACCCGGATATGCGGATCCGGGAGAGAGAGAAGGTGTGTGTATCTCTCTCTCTCTCTCTCTCTCTCTCTCTCTCTCTCTCTCTCTCTCTCTCTCTCTCTCTCTCTCTCTCTCTCTCCTGAACGTTTATTAAATGACCATTGAAACTCTCGTGAAACGGGTGAAAATTAACTGCACGCGCACGCACACAAACACACACACACATACATACATACGTACACACACACACGTTCATACACACACACATACCATTATACCAGAATCACAGCGGTATTCATACACCACTCATATACCATTATACCAGAACCACAGTGGTATTCATACACACACACATACCATTATACCAGAATCACAGCGGTATTCATACGTCACTCATATACCATGATACCAGAATCACAGCGGTATTCATACGCCACTCATATACCATGATACCAGAATCACAGCGGTATTCATACGCCACTCATATACCATGATACCAGAATCACAGCGGTATTCATACGCCAACCATATACCATGATACCAGAATCACAGCGGTATTCATACGCCACTCATATACCATGATACCAGAATCACAGCGGTATTCATACGCCACTCATATACCATTATACCAGCAACAGACATAATTTCAGCGTTGGAATTTGAAAATATTGAAATGAGTGATAACTGTATTACGAGGCTCGGGCGGTGGGGTAGCCTAGTGGTTAAAGCGTTCGCTCGTCACGCCGAAGACCCGGGTTCGAATCCCTACATGGGTACAATGTGTGAATATCATTTCTGGTGTCCCCCGCCTTCATATTGCGGGAAAGCGGCCTAAAACCATGCTCACTCACTCACAATTACTACGCTCGTCCCTTTCAGATACCATTTCTATTATAACTCATGTAATCAAACAACGTTGTGTCGAAGACCTATGTTAATGCTTCGAGTTATCCAAAGTTAGTAATACCATTACACGTCCACCCTAAAACTGACTAACATACAGTGTTTATCTTAGAACGGCTCTGTTAACGAACTCTATACGAATCACAGTTACTATAAATATTTTACCTAGAAAAAGAAAGAATGCCGAGTTTGTTGCAATGAAAATTGCGGCTTGACGAGCGTTAACCACTAGGCTTGCCCCATTGACCCATACATATAAGGTCTTGTTGACCAACACAGTCCGGCAACAATCTGTCAACAAATGTCTGTGTTTGGGTACTTCTTAGTGAAATAAATGCGATTGTTGGACATTATATCTCTAGCGTAAGGTATGTTCAGCACTGAATCAAAGGGGATAAATTGGTTGGTTGGTTGGGACTTATCAGCTATATGGCGGCGGTCTGTAAATAATGGAGTCTGGACCAGACAATCTAGTGATCAACAGCATAAGCATCGATCTACGCTATTGGGATACGATGACGTACGTCAACCGCTGCCTGGGGCTCGGCATTAATGGGTACAACAAGGACTGGTCGGCTCGAAGTCAGTATAATGTGTCTGAGTGGGGTATTCATGCTTCACTGCGGCATGGTATCTCAGTGGGCTAGCACTATAAAACCAGCTTAAGTCTGGGCTAGTACAAGCAGCCGCACATACACATACACTCGCATGCACGTCGTCATATGAGCGAAATATTCTCAAGCACGACGATAAACGCAATTTCACCTCACCTCACCTATGTCAACCGAGTCAGCGAGCCTGATCACCCGATTACAATAGTCGCCTCTTACACCAAGCATGGGTCAATTCTAACCCGGATCTTCACCGTCACTTCCTTTTATCCCCCAGTTTATTTATAATGATTTTCAACATTTTCTTGGATTGAAACAACAAACCAAATCAAGTCGTTATGGCTGAAGAGAGGTGGCGCTGTAATTATTTTAGAACGGTTATTTTGGCATAAGTTGAAATTGGCGGTGATGGTGGGTAGCACACATATCACACAGCCTCATATCTGACGGTGAAAATGGTGGATATTTTACGACGCTTCATTGGCTCTGAGCGTTGCAATGGTGTGTTTGTTTGTTGTTAAACGCTGGAGTCGGAGTTATTGCAGCTTTATGGCGGCGGTCTGTAAATAATCGAGCGTCGACCACACAATCCAGCGATCAACATCATAAGCATCGATCTGCGCAATTGGGATACGATGACATGTGTCAACCAAATCAGCGAGCCTGACCAGCCGATCCCAATAGTCGCCTCTTATGTTTCTGAAGGCCACTTCTAACCGGGATCTTTTGTAAACGAAGCTCTGTGGAATCCTGTGTAGTATGTTAGTGCGCGCTAGTTAAGCAAAGCTTGTGACGGAGAGTAATTGGATTGGTGACCTCCTTCGTCAGCTTGAGTCGAGCTTCGGTCCCACCTAACACATGTAGTGTCTCTCGAAATATGTCTCTGTGAATGGGTACCCGGAAGGATGAGACAGTAACTGTTTACCTTGTTGCACCTCATCTACAGGGAACTGAGAATACAAATCGAATGCTCTCAAATCCAATGACCGGGGTAATGTTAATGTATTATCATTGTTGTTCTTGTTATCCTCTTGTTATAAATTCCCCAGGGAGTACAGAACGAAATTCGAGTGTACACTGGTCCATGATAATGTATTGTCGTCGTCGTCATTGTCGTCATGGGTGTCCTAGGTTTGTTTGAGTTTTTGGGGTGAGTTTGTTTATTTGTTTCTAGGGTGGGTGGGTGGGGGGTTTGGGGTGTGGTCCCCATTATTTACTAGTCCATATAAGGAACTACGGTTATATCGAACTACTGTTATAACGAACTATGGTTATAACGATCAATGGTTATATCGAACTACTTTTTATATCGAACTATGGTTATAACAAACTATGTTTATAACGAACTACTGTTTATAACGGACTAATGTTTATAACGAGCTACAGTTATAACGAACTACTGTTTATATCGAACTATGGTTATAACGAACTACTGTTTATAACGAACTACGGTTATAACGAACTAATGTTTATAACTAACTATGGTAATAACGAACTACGGTTATATCGAACTACTGGTTATAACGAACTAAAATTAGCGGTCCCTATGAGTTCGTTATAAGCAGGCGGTGGGGTTGCCTAGTGGTTAAAGCGTTGGCTCGTCACGCCGAAGGCCCGGGTTCGATTCCCCACATGGGTACATTGTGTGAAGCCCACTTCTGGTGTCCCTCGCCGTGATATTGCTGGAATATTGCTAAATTTGATATGCATTAAACCATACTCACTCACTCACTCACTCACTCACTCACTCACTCACTCGTAATACCCGTTGTTTACTGTTTGTACATGTTTTATTCATTATTGAAGGGGATTGGGCACAAGTTATTCAACTTATTAAAGCCCTCTCCCGACAATAACATGGAAAAAATACATGTAATGGACAATGAACAGAGGAAAGACATAACTGACACGCTTACAAAGTACAATGATTTTATGGACATGACTAAAAATATTTTCATTTATAGTTTGTGGCAGACTAAGGCTACCGTACAGAATGGTTTGAATATCTAAAC